AGCTTCTGACCCACAATGGCCCTAGAATGTGAATTGGCATGAAGCCAAGCATTGTGGATGTGGGGTGATTTCAGAGATGGGGTTCACCACCATCAGGTGGTGGTTTTAGGTCACATCCCAGGAGTAGTTCCAGATTGGGGTTGGTTCCAAAGGAAACTGGTCTTCATATCCTCTTTAATGTGTCTATCCTCAATTTTTGTGCTCAAGCCAAAGGCTATAATTTCTCTGCTAGACTCCCAGACTTCCACAAGGGAACCCTCATCTGTGGGTGGTTGTCAAAATTGATGCGGAATTCAGGTGTGATTGTAGAAATCACTTATTCTACAATCCTGCTGATGCCTCTCAGGATGTCTACTCTGCTTTTCTGACAGCCTCCAAGTTTTGATGTAAGTCCATCATTCTCTTTCTTAATAATGCATAAATTCAAGCACCTATTTTCTGATTTAGCATATCACTTATTTCAGGCTGGTTTGTGACTTTTCATATCTTCTTAGGTCTGACTGCTAACTAAATTGCATAATGTACAGGAGAGCAGTTTGAAGAGATGTAAAGAGACTCTCTGTTTATGCTAATAAATGTTAAATATTGTAGGTAAAATATTAGTCTTAAACACATGAATTTTTTCTGTTGCTATTTATATTACCTTATGTATACATTACAAATAACTTTACCCATATTTATATAATATAAATAATACCAAGATTAATAATTTGTACATATTAGACCAGGCATCTGTGTCATTTACTCTTATAAAAAAAGTTATTTTTCACTCATTTCATTGATCCTATAAATGTTCATTTGAGTCTCCAATTTTGTACACACTTTATGTATTTCAAGGACATGTGATAAGTGTCTGTTTAATATAGTATTTTAAAAGGGAAAATGATTTTTATAACACACTACTGAATCATATTGTTGAATATTTTTAGAGTAATCAGCTAATTTTATTAAATAACAACAACACATTCTTTATTCATACAACACAACCTTTAATGATTTTGTCAGAGATCAGATTGTATGGCTGCATACATTTGGTTTTATTGGTAGGTGTCATTTGATCTAACCCTTGAGCCAGTCCACTAATTTTTTAATGTTTAGTAATAAAACATTTTAATAGTTACCACCTCTTATTTAAGTAGGAGTTTTTTAAGTAGCTTTTGACCTTCATTTAAAGATTTTTAATCATTTTATATTTTTCAACTACAGTTGACACACAATTCAATATTAGTTTCAGGTGTACACCATAGTGATTAGACATTATATAACATTTTACCTGATCATACCGATAAATTTTCTGTTAAGTAGCTTTTGACCTTTCATTAAAGGTTTTTAATCATTTTTTATTTTTCAACTATAGTTGACACACAATTAAATATTAGTTTCAGGAGTACACCATGGTGATTAGACATTATATAATTTTCTAAGTGATCATCCTGATAAATCTTATACCCATCGGACACCATACATAGATATTGGAATATTATTGACTATATTCCCAATGATGTACTTACGTCCCATTGACTATTCTGTAACAATCAATTTGTACTTCTTAATCCCCTCACCTTTTCCACCCAGGCCCCACTCCCCACTCATCTGGTGAGAACCAATTTGTTCTCTGAATCTATGAGTTTGTATCCAATCAGCTTGTTAATTTATTTTGATCTTTAGATTCAATTGTTGATGGATATGTATTTATTGCCATTTTATCACTCATATTTATTCCTCCTCATCATCATCATCATTCTTCTTCTTCTTCTTCTTCTTCTTCTTCTTCTTCTTCTTCTTCTTCCAGAAGACCCTTTAACATTTCATAAAATACTGTTTTGGTGGTAACCCTGCCCCACCCCTTTCACAGCCCCACCTAAGGTGTTTGCAGCAGCTTTTTCCATAAGAATGGCCTATCCTGGTTCAGGACTCAGACTTTCCTAAAATCTCCCATAACACTCAATAAGAGACCCAAGGCTTGGCACTAGCAGCAGCCTGCCTAGCTTCACGGCTTAGCCTCTCCTGGGCACTTCCAAGCCCAACACAAATAGAAGTCATCTAAAGATCACTCTGTAGCTCCTCTCAGATGCCCCAGGAAGTACTTGACTTTACACCTCCCTGTAGGCCCCAGAATGACTGTGCCCAGTGAACAGCTTTAGACAATAACAGATTACAACTCTGCACATCCACCAGAGACACACTCAAGGGGCAGACTCAGTGAGCACCAAAGCCCCACTGAAGCAAGTCCTGCTCTATAGGGGTGCCTCCTGCACAGCAGCTCCCCCATTATAGTCACAACTGGTCCTCACAACTAATTGGCCTGGAGGTCAATTCCTCCCTGAGACACCAATAGCAATTAAGGCTCAACTACAACAAGACTGTGCACACAGCCCACACATGGGCACACCTAGAGTGCCCAGCTCAGGTAACTGGGGAGGCTGAGCCACTGGGCCCTACAGGACACCTATTATGCAAGGCCACTCTACCAATTCCAGGGGACATAACAGCTCTACATAATACCTAGAAACAAGCACAGGGAAGAAGCCAAAATGCAGCGACAAAGAAACATGTCCCCCATTAAAAAAAAGAAAGAAATCTCCAGAAAAAGAACTTAATGAAATGGAAGCAAACTACTAGATACAGAGCTCAAAACAATAATCATAAGGTTCCTCAAGGATCTTAATAAGAACTTCAATGGTCTCTGGTAGGCAGCAAAAAATAATATTAATAAATAAATAAGTAAATATATTCCATAATTAATAAATATTTTATTTTATTTAAGTCAAAATCAGAACTCCAACCCAAATCAATGTACCCTAAAGCTTGAAGGCTGGATCACAGGGTGAGGAGGAGACTTTAACACAGGAAGCAAAGGGCACTGAGGAGGAAAAATAACTCAGAAGTTTGTCCCCAAGAAGAGGCAGTAGATGCTGTGGCTACAAAAAAAAGAGAAGTCCGTGAGATCAGCTGTGATTCAAAGAAAGCCACAGTCAGGGCCAGGAGAAGTGACGTGTTTCCTCCGTTATTTCCCTGCATTTCCCTCTTTGCTCCTTGTCACACGGACATTGCCCTGACCTGCACAAGGAGAGTGTGAGCGTGTCCCTGCTGATCTGAGCTCTGCAGGCCATAGGGACCCACGTCTTCCTGAAGCTTCTCCAGTGCCCAGGTGACACATTCCATGGTGAGGACCACAGGGTGGTGCTGATGGATGGGCTGAGGAGTAAGGAGACCCCGTGGGGGAGGCTCTGACAGGGAAGGACTTGCCCTGGGTCACCTCACCTGCAAGGGTCCTCTCAGGAAGTCCCTGGTCTATTTCTTGCTTTTCCATTGAAACTAGATGCGGGCCTCTGGGTAGTGAATGTTCCACTTTCTGTGGGGCTGCTGAGGTGAGAATTCCATCACAGGGAGGGCCAGCCTCGGAGGGGCCACACCCTGTTTGTCTATCTGTTTAGAGGATACTGGCCTCCTGCATCTGCACAGCGAGGTGTAAAGAGAGGAGAAGCTATGACCCCCACCCTCAGGGCCCTGCTCTGCCTCGGTGAGTTGGGAGGGGGAGGGGAGCCCTGGTCTGTCAGGACCCAGGACTCAGGAGGCTCATGGGGAGAAGGGAGGTGCTCATGGTTCAGGGCAAATCTCTCACAGGGACTCTCTTCCAGGGCTGAGTGTGGGCCTCAGGACCCCAGTGCAGGCAGGTGAGTCTTTCCAGATGTCCCAGGCCCCACTCCTCACTTGGGACAAGGGCCACCCCCAAGGCAGCTGGGGAAGGACAGTGTTCTAAGCTAACAGAGGAGTAACATCTGGGAAGTCCCTGGGCTGAGAGCTGGGACTGAGGGTGCGAAATATCTTAGAACACAGCTACTGGTTTCCTTCCAGGGCCCATCCCCAAACCCACCATCTGGGCTGAGCCAGGCCCTGTGATCCCCTGGGCTAGCCCCGTGACCATCTGGTGTCAGGGGTCTCCAGAGGCTGAGGAGTACCATCTGGATAAAGAGGGAAGCCCACGACCATGGAAAATAGAGAAGCAACTTGAGCCCGGGGACAAGGCCAAGTTCTCCAACACATACATCACAGATGTACATGCAGGGATATTTCACTGTTACTATCGCAGCCCTGCTGGCTGGTCAAAGCACAGTGACTTCCTGGAGCTGGTGGTGACAGGTGAGAGGACACTCAGGGGTCTCAGGCTCAGGCTCCGCCCTCAGGAAAGGGGTCTGCTCTCAGGGTGTCTCCCTCTCACAGCCCAGCCCTGGGAGACATGAGGGAGGTGTGAGCCCATTTAATATGTTGCCTCCTCCTCTCCTAGGATCCTACCTCAGACCCAGCCTCTCAGCCCTGCCCAGCGCTGTCGTGCCCTCAGGAGGGAACGTGACCCTCCAGTGTGGCTCAGGGCAGGGATTTGGCAGGTTCCTTCTGACTAAGGAAGGAGATCACAGGCTCTCCTGGACCCTGGGCTCAGAACCACAATCCAGTGGGCGGTCCCAGGCTCTGTTCCGTGTGGGCCCCGTGACCCCCAGCCACAGGTGGACGTTCAGATGCTATGGCTGTTACAGGAACAGGTCCCACGTGTGCTCACACCCCAGTGATGCCCTGGAGCTCCTGGTCCCAGGTGAGTCCCATTATTGTCCCATCTATTGATAAAGACACTGGATACATTGTTGCCATTTTTGCTGGGAGTGGAGCCCCATGTGAGAAGGTAGGGGTGAGGGGAGCACAAGGGCTACTGGATCAGAGATACAAAGAGAGAGTGTGAGACCTGGGGGCCAATCAGCAGAAGAGGGTTTATGAGAGGAGCAGCCCCTGTAATTCATTTCTGGTCTCCTCAGGTAAGTCTGGGAAGCCCTCCCTCCTGAGCCAGCAGGGCCCCATCGTGGCCTCTGGACAGAGCCTGACCCTCCAGTGTCGCTCTGATGTCGGCTATGACA